CCTCCCATAAACTAGTCGAGTCTCCAGAAGGGCTGGCGTGCAAGCGGCAGTGGGAAGAAACCTTCGGAGAATCTTTCTCGTTTAACAACTACATTCTAGCAATGTTCGCTGCATTCAGTTATGTTCCACTAATTGGGATTGCCATACTTTACATGGCGATTCTCTTGAAGCTTAGGTCCGAGTCTCACAAGATTCGAGACGAGCAATCGGTGAAGGCAGGAGAAATACGCGCAAGAAGGGAGCAAAATGTACTGAAAATGTCCATTGCGATCGTTTTGACATTTGCAATATGCTGGCTGCCACTCAGTATCTATTATGTAATGATCTTATTTTCACTGAACAGCTCCAAGGTAGCGTCTTGTGGCTTCCAATACTTTGACGCTATTGTATTTTTCGTGTGGCATTCTAACTGTGCTATAAACCCTTGCATCTGTTTTACTTACGCCGGAAATTTCCGTCAAGGTTTTAAAAATATCTTTAGTTGCTTTTTCTCCAGCCAACGGGTGTAATTAATCAACACAGATGTACCCAGCTTCCGTTGATCTGAGAATACCGTTGTATTGCTCGACTTAAATACTCCAAAGCTTCTGAATTGCTAAGTAGCAGCCGAGATTGATCAATGAAATTGATTGAGTAAGGTTCGTTTTCCCTTGTTTGACCGCAGTATCATTTCAGATCACAAAACTGTAGATCGTAGTACACATTGTCATTTAACAGTAAAATGAGGTTGATTATATTACGCTCAATGAAAAAGCATTCGTTAAACATGGACACGTGAACGTAATTTTGACTTTTCCTACAAGCATTTGAGATTTTCCAACCATTGTTTGAGCACCAAGTTTTTAGTGACAAAAAGGAGACTTAGCAGCGTTTTCGGAATTATTAAGTGAAGTTGTATTAGACCTTTCAAATGGAAAATTTCACTGTGCAGCTGAGACGATGATCGAAAAAGCTATGTTTGATTGGCGTGCGTCAGTTGTTGCCATTAGTTCAATTTTCATCAATCAATACATCTTTTCATAAAGCAAGACAGTCTGGCAATGTCTTTAATATCACCTCTTGACAAGTCTACCTTGCCCCTCTTATTGTCGGACACACATTGCTGTCTTTCTTTTTACCGCTTTGCGCCCACTGTAAACACTGTCAAGCCTCCTTGCGCGCGAGTTTCTCTTGGCGATAAAATTAACATTTTTTTCACAAGAAATACAGACAAGACAAAAAAAAGTAGAGGGTTTATTAATTTTTTTTTCTAATTGCCAAGGCCGGACCATACGGTTTCACCTGTACTTCAGGCAACACCTGAATTTCAGTGAGAAAAACGCTGAGATAACATGACAACTTTACGAAACCTGAACACAACGATGAATGGAAGACAGCCACCAAACTGCATAAATCACACAGTAGAAAGAGTCGGAAAAACAGCTGCATATTGCTTAATATTAGTTACGTCTTTGATTGGAAATATTTCCATCGGAATAATTGTCTACAGGACGAAAACCAAGAGACGACCCAGAAACTTCTTCATCGTGAACATGGCTATGTCTGATTTGTTGTTCTCGGCTTTTCTGTTCCCATATCTTCTAGCCAATATGTACGCCGGTTCCTGGTTGATCAGCGGTCCTCTTGACCAAGCCTTCTGTAAGATGGTTCCGTTCTTCGCTCATGTCTCTATGACTGTTTCTGTCCAGAGCATGATTTTCATCGCAATTGATCGATTTGGAGCTGTGATTTTTCCTCTCCGTTCCCTAATTATCAGTTCAAAGCTATGTTTCTTCTTCATTGATGTCATTTGGATCGTTGCGATGGCTGCCTCACCAGTTCCCTTCTACAAGAGGGTTGTCGAGTCCGAGAATTTTACAGCTTGTTTGCTTAGATGGAACGCTCTTAGACAGTCCCCATCCTTTAAACATTACTATGTGTCAATTTGTCTCACACTGTTTTATTTCCCTTTGGCTTTCATGACCATTATTTACACAATCATCTTTTCAAAGCTCAGGCCCCACAAGATAGAGAGCGACTTGTATTGAGGATGTCCATTGCTATCGTGTTTGCGTACGCAGTCTGTTTCGCGCCTAAAACACTCACAGGGATATTAATCCATTACAAAATATCGGAAACCGCCTGGTTATCTTCCTGTGGGTTTATAACACTGAGGTTTACGTCCTCTCTTCTGGCCAACTCATATTGCTCTTTTAACTCTTGCATCTGTTTTATTTTCAGTGGAACCTCCTTAGCTGTTTTGCTACTAAATTCAAGGCTCCTAAAGCACATCATCGTTGTAATGCTTTGTTTTAATACACTTTGTCCCAGGAAAATGGGATGACAATTGCAATCGCCGAGTGAACACCTAGTAGAGGTTGGCTGCAAAGTCAAAAGTCTTAAGAAGTTAGTCGGATTCGTGAACACCTAGTAAAGGTTGGTTGCAAACTCGAAGGTCT